ATCATATGCGACAAGTAAACTAGAGGTTTACTGAAATAAATATTAGTTGGCATGATCGGTTGGCGATCTCGGTTCAATTATGATGCGAAAATTAATTGAGAATTCAGATTGGCATATATTAAAGAAATAAAAGATTCTTCAAGAATTCTTTTGTGTTGCTTATTCTCATGATATACTAGTTAAGGTTGGGATTGAATCCCTTAAAATCTGGAACGAATAAAAGATGATATATATATATATNGGGTCCAGTCACCTGCCATGTGAACCGTTTACTATTATATGAATTTAATAGATGCATCTATTCTATGGTCACAAGTTAGTTTGTTATCAACTTGCAGTTTGGCTTTTGCAAGGTTGCTTGCTCAAATTATTAGAGCATAGTTCTAGAATATAAATTATGATGATTTATCTTGATAATGCTGGTTTAAATCTAAGTTGGTTTAGTAGAAATTGTATGCCTCCAATTATAGCTAAACCATTGGTTATGGGATGTATTATTTAACATACAACAACACTTGTACGCATCTAGCCAAGTTATGATAAATTCTCCCTATCACAATTGGTTCAGGGTCAGGAACCAAATAAGTTTTATCTAGAAATATAGATGTGCTATATGATTTAATTATCCCACCACAATGTACAAAGATGGGTTCTCAAAGAAGGTTGAGATATGTGTTGGTGATCCCAACATTAGGGGAGAAATTGGGTAGCTGAAAAAGTGATACGCGGAATGAATTATTATGAGTACGTCTAGATCCTCATACGAGAAAATGTGAACTTGAAGTTCAAGTGATAATCATTTACAAAATATTGTCAAGCGTATTTACTGACCCAAAGCTAAATGTCATATTTCAGTTGTTAATGCTCCAAATAGAATAAGTTCATGATGGACAAAGTTTATTGCATGCATGAAGCGTAACAAACTAATCGGTTCCAAACTCCTTGAAGAAGGATATGAGCAAATGTTCAAGATGGTTATAATAAAGAGGCAAGTGCTTTAGAAGAGCACCATGACATAACACTTTATAAATCCTCATGGGAGAGGCTCAGGTACCTGAAAATAATGAGATAAAGAGATCTCAATAAGTTATATCTTTATTGGATAACTATGGAACCGATATAAAATGATCATTTGTTGATATAATGTAGCGCCCAATATTATTAATATTGACGAAGATCTTGAGCTCAAATTTGTCATAGAATTTGGATAGATAAATGATTGGCCAAATGAAAAATACTCAATAAAAATTGACTTCACCTGAAAAATATGAAATTGGCTGGATAGTCCATTGTGCAAATAGTGAAGTGAAAATCACGTCAATAGAAATAAAGACGATTTGTGGCACACGATTTTTCGTAAATATCCTGGCATTAGTTATATGGAGACAGGTTCTCTTGTGGTGGATGAAATTATGTTTAGGTTTTAATATGACAATACATGAAAATTTTGATATGCGTATAATAAAAATCCTTGAAGGATTTAAACTGTTTTGAAACATATAGAGGTTCCCGAAATTTTTGTTAAATAAAGCTTCAGCAATCCATATATGACATATATGATTTATTATTGTGTCTTAGTGCACTGAGTGCACTTATGTTTCTTGCTAGAACCTTGAGTATAACGTTAAACTAACAAGATTTAACTTTAATTCGATATGGAGACACTGGAATGCAATTAGTAATATATTACAAGAGAATCATTGATAGATTTGTTTATTCTAACAAATATTGCCAAGATTTTGTTGGTTATGCAAATACATGCATTTTTCTAAAGTTTGTTCTTCAAACAATCTATTTGCATGTGAGAGTACTGCCATATTATCATTTTACAAGACAATTAATTATTGATATTTATTCAAGTCATGCCAAGATAAACAACTGATAAAGCAAGGGACTCAACACACAATAGACGTGTGACTTTTCTTTGAAGAGAAGATTCCAATAATACTGAAGATAATGATGTTTGCTTATCTCAATTGGAAAAAGGATATAAAGAAGGCAACAAAATAAAGCACATTTCACCACAGTTCTTTTCGGACATGATCTTCAACAGATTGGTGATATAGACGTTCAACAAATTTATTTAATTGATAATTTGGTGGATCTATTCAATGAATCATTACCAACCCCAGCATTTGAGAAGCCGGTATACGGTATTGGAATGCATCATTTTCGAAAACTAAAGTGATGTTTTCAACAAGCGGAGTAAGATATGCGCCACACTCTTTTTTCCTTAGCTGAGGTTTTATCCCACTGGGTTTTTCTAGCAAGGTTTTTAACGAGGCAGCAAATAATACGTATTACAAGATGTGTACTATTTTTCCTTCATTAAGATTTTTTTTCCACGGGGGATTTTTTTAGTAAGGTTTTAACGAGGCACGTTATTATGGACATCCAAGAGAGAATGTTATAAAATATAATTATGGTGGATGTCCATAACCACCAAATGAGTAATACCCATTACTCTTCTCCATTATCTCTATAACTCCCACTACTCTACTACTTATGAGTTATGGTTGTAACTCCCATACCTCTCCCATGATCTTCCATCATGATTTCAAATGCTTAATGTCATATTTATGTAATTCTTTTGGTATACCTCTACGTAGTACTATAAATAGAGGATAAGAATTCATTTTGTAATAGACTTGAATACTTAATGAAATAAGAAAATTATCTCTTCTTCTCTTATTTTACTTATCTTTTTGTTTTATATTGTTTTTTTAGCTACATTTCTTAATATACGTTAAGGCATTTGTTGAATTTTAGTTTAATGATTTACAAGTGGGACCGAGATGGGGTCCCACGTAATAAAAAAGAAGTAATTAGGGTAGCCCCACATATTAATGAAGCACTTGGTTTAGGAATCAATTACCACCCGTAACCCGTAGGAGCCTTAGATTCTACTCAATTTGACCTATTAGTGTGTTGTTAAAGCTTTATTTGTCCCTTAATCTACATCAAAAGCTCCAAATGGACAAAATCAAAAGACTAATCCCTTCTTTTTTCTCACCTAGGATTTCCTTTTCGCTTTAGCGCTTTTACTACACTTAATATCCAACCATCTATTATCACATGGTTGACAATGGCATCATATTGTCACTTTCTATTCACATTGCTTTATTAAGGAGGAAAAGTAAAAGATAAAATAAATTAATAAATAAAAGATTAGAAAAAGGCGGGCGAAATACATAGTTTACCCATTCACCTTTCAATTAAATCTATGTTACACACATGTTGACCACATGTATAACTTTACACACCAAACCTTTCAAATGTGAGTCAATTGCACACTACTTTTTACCAGCCTCTAAGACGTGTGAAACACGACCAATGTGGAGCGTGAAAAGTGCTTTTCTGCCTCACTTGACAAATTACAACGGCTAATTATTGGAATCGGGCCCATTTTCCAAACCCTAACGCTCTTCTTTATCTGCTTCTTATTAAAAGCAACCATTTTCATCTTCTTCAAATTAAGAGGAATCAATTTCAGAAAAATCCAACCCCCATCTTTACCTTCCACATCTAATATTTTCAAGCTGGTTATATTTGTTCAATCAAAGTGCAATACATAATTATTCTTCTGTCAATTCTCGTATTAGGGTTCATATTGAATGGAGTATTCGGGTCCAAATAAACCCTAACTGTTTCGACCCACCCATCTAAATCAAAACGATTGAACAACCTAAAATGAGAATATTAATTTGAAAATGACGAAAGTAACAGCAACAAATACCAGACGTGTTCTCGTCGGAGTCACCTTCAAAGGTTAGGGCTGAAGAACATTTTGGTGAAAATGGAATTATGTTTGTTAATTTGGTCGAGGAGTTGTTTTTAATCGACCGAGTCGGATTTTTTTGGGTCGAGATTAAAAAAAGGTCGGGTTGTCCATTTTAATTAAAGAATCATTTTTTAATTGAAATAAGCGCGTGCATACACAACATTGAATATTAACTAGGCTGGTCAAAATTAGTGTGTAATTGACACACATTTGAAAGGTTTAATGTGTAAAATTATACTCATGATCAACAGATGTGTAACAGAGATTTGAGTGCAAGGTGGATAGGTAAACTATGTGTTTTTTGACGATATGCTGATATCTCTGTCTGAGGTATTAAGGAAATAGCACCAAAATGTTATACCATACCCTTTCCTTTAAAATTAGGAAGTCATGTCAAATCTTCACAAATTATAGAGAAAAACCATCAATTTATTTTTAATATCAAAAGTTGATCAAATTGAACAAGAACTAATATAAATGAAAAATAATCCGTCTTAAGATGTTGATCATCAATAACTATTATCAATTTTTGATGAAATTGAGCAAAAATTTATATATATGACCAAACATGATGTCTAAAAATGTTAAACGACTCGTCGTAAGCTAAGATAGAATATAAATGTAAAATTGTATAGCATTTTGGGGCAAAATGAGTAATTTTTTATTTAAAACCTATCCTCATCGTAAATAGATTCAGATGAACGTAAATTTAAATTAAGGGAAAATATTAGATTAAATCTGATAAGTACTATTTTCAAAATTGTCGTCGTAACCAAGGCCACGTTTTTTTCATTTCACTATACAGAATCATGAAATGAAAAGTGAGTAGATATTTGATAGTAAGTGATAAATAATTTTCTGACACTTGGAAAACTGCTTCTGATTGAAAGAAAATTCGTGCTTATCGTAAATAGACAAATTAATAGGATTAGATCTTTATACTATACAGTAGTATTTTTACGCAGTCCTATTAAGATTTAAGGGTGCACATGTTTTGTCATCCTTTCTGAAACACGTGTCAAAGTAAAATTTTCTTTTTCACATTAACAAGAAAATGAAAAAACGAAAAAAATAGGATCACTGCCGACTATTTCTCAAACAAATCTATATCACGAAAAAGCATGTTCCTGTACTAACCCAACCATGGTTAAATTTTTAACCCTTTAAACCCTTAACTAACCATAGTATACTAACACACATGCAGTTGGGACTTGGGATTTAGAGAAACTATAACCCAAAATATACCCCCCGCCTCCCCTCCTATCTCTCTCTCTCTCTAACTTTGCAGGAAAATAGAGAAAACACCTTCTCTCATTTTCGTTTATCAAAAAACTACCAATATTTCTTTATTGGGGCAAAACTATAGTATTTTCTCAGTTGAATTCTAGTTCTATTATAGAACCGCAGTTTCTTTCAGTGCTCAACAGTTTTGCTTGTTCAGCTTCTTGACTGCAAAGATACCGGTCTGTAATTTTCATGCTTTTTTACTAATCTTGTTTGTTTGTGTTGTCCATTTATGCATTATTATGTCCAAGTTTCTATCTTTTCTGGGTATTTTCTTATAGTTACTTATACCCTTTAGATTCCAAGCTTTTGAGATCTGAAAAGTAGAGGTATGGACAATTGTGTGTTCAATAAGAAGAAGAAGATCAATTGTTTTTCTTCAAGTTAAGATGGCTTTGCTTTAGATTGGTTAATTGGTGTTCTAAAATGTGTTAAAGGTTCAAGCTTTGAAGGGAAAAAAAGAATTGTATTTTTCAGTTCTTGTAATATAAATTTGAAAATCTCTTTTGGGGCCTAAGAGTGCTTTTAGTTCAAGGGATTTTTTTGTACTAGGTAAAGATGGGTACGGGGAATATGTCGTGGAGTGATGAGGATAAGGCTACGGTGGCGGCTGTACTGGGAAAAGAAGCTTTTGAATATTTGATATCTAGCTCGGTTTCAGCAGAATGTTCTTTAATGGCAATAGGGAATGATCAGAATTTGCAGAATAAGCTTTCAGAGCTCGTGGAACGCCCAAACGCCACTAATTTTAGCTGGAATTATGCTATCTTTTGGCAAATTTCACGGTCTAAATCGGGGGAATTGGTGCTAGGGTGGGGGGATGGCTGTTGCAGAGAACCCAAGGAAGGAGAGGAGTGTGAAGTTAAAAGGATATTTAATCTACGCCTCGAGGATGGGGCTCAACAAAGGATGAGGAAAAGGGTCCTTCAGAAGTTGCATATGTTATTTGGTGGAACAGATGAAGATAACTATGCTATTGGATTGGATAGGGTCACTGATACTGAAATATTCTTCCTTGCCTCGATGTACTTTTCGTTCCCTCGAGGAGAGGGAGGTCCAGGGAAGTGTTTTGGTTCGGGTAAGCATTTGTGGTTATCAGATGCATTGAAGTCCCCTCTAGATTATTGTGCTAGATCTTTCCTAGCTAAGTCAGCTGGTATGCAAACTATTGTTTTGATCCCAACTGATGTTGGAGTTGTGGAATTGGGATCAGTCAGATCGATACCGGAAAGTTTGGAGCTATTGCAATCTATAAAATCTTGCTTCTCTTCGTTTCTTGTTAGGGCTAAGCAAGCAGCAGGTATAGCAGTTGTAACTGAGAAAAAAGATGCAAACAATTCCCCCTTTTCGCGCTCAGCTTTTAGTGAGCGACCAGATGGAACTCCTAAGATTTTTGGGCACGATTTAAATTCCGGTACCCACTTTAGGGAAAAACTTGCTGTTAGGAAAGCGGAGGAGAGACCATGGGACATTTACCCAAACGGTAACAGGATGCCATTCATGAACGGGCGTAATGGTTTACATGCTGCTTCTTGGGCGCAATTCAGTAATGTGAAGCCGGTAAAGCCAGTGGAGCTCTATCGTCCTCAGACGCCCCCAGCACACAACCTACAAGAGCTTGTCAATGGTGGAAGGGAAGAATTCCATTTGAACAACTTTCAGCATCAAAAGCCTGCTAGAATGCAAATTGATTTCACTGGAGCAACCTCGAGACCCATTATTTCGCCATCACACACTGTTGAGTCTGAGCATTCAGATGTTGAAGCTTCGTGTAAGGAAGACCGTGTAGGCCTAGTCGATGAAAAGAGGCCTAGAAAACGTGGAAGAAAGCCAGCTAACGGAAGGGAAGAGCCCCTCAATCATGTAGAGGCGGAGAGGCAGCGGCGGGAAAAGCTGAACCAGCGATTCTATGCATTACGAGCTGTTGTTCCGAATATCTCCAAGATGGACAAAGCTTCCCTCTTAGGAGATGCTATTGCTTACATAACTGAGATGCAGAAAAAACTAAGAGACATGGAATCCGAGAGGGAGCTGAGATTAGGAAGCACTTCAAGGGATGCAATGGCTGCAGAAGACGGCCCGAATTCAGAGATTCAAATCCGAGGACCCGACATCAACATAGAAGCTGCCAATGATGAAGTCATTGTAAGGGTGAGCTGTCCGCTGGAAACCCATCCAATATCAAGAGTCATCCAAACATTCAAAGAGGCACAGATCAATGTTGTTGAATCAAAACTTTCTGCCGGGAATGGAACTGTATTTCACACATTTGTACTCAAGTCTAGTGGATCTGAACAGCTGACGAAGGAAAAGTTGCTGGCTGCACTTTCCAGCGAATCAGACTCGCTAAGACAGTTTTCACCGGTAGGGCAATAACAGTTTTATGTTTTATATAGTTGCTAGACGTAAGATGTAGTGAAGAATCATATTTTAGTTTCTGCAGAGAGTTTCGTATACATCAGTTCAAGATAGGTGGACATAACTAGCTATTGACAAAGTAGCAGCAAATTTTCTGTGTTTGTCTATAGTATACATGTTTTATCATAAGGCAAGATGAATCAATTGCAAGCTTCACTATCTTTTGCATACCATTCATTATTGTTATTAATTCTTCAGGAGCTACTGATGACGCATTTATGTCATCTTAGATCCAAGATGTGCATCTTACCATGCAGCTATTCAAGAATGTACAAAAGAAAGTATATGATAGAAACTAACAAGTTCTCCTACTTTATCAGAAATTTTTATGTGATCTATGTTTTTCCCTCTTTCTTTTTAGAATGCCATGTTAGGGTTTTGGGGTTTCTTGATCTTAATTTTTGGTGATACTGGAGATTGATATAGTCAATCCTAACTAGTTTGGGATTGACGCGTAGTTTATTGATAAATTGATTTTTGTTTATTTCTATTGACTCTTATTATGTTGTAAAGCTGCCTTGTGTCCAGTCCATGAGAAATGCATGGAAATGATTAACTTTGTAATTTCAGTCAGAAATTTGCTCTGCTTGAATTGTATTTGGAAAATATTGTTCCTTGTGTTTCTTGTTATAAAGGCGTAGTAGCAGTCAGAAGAATTGTCTCCTTCAGTTCCTGTCCTGTTATTAGTATAACAAATTATAAACTGGCCCTGTGTTTTGGTTAGTTGTTATTTATTGAACATGACAAAAACATGTGAAGAAAAGTGTAGTTAGTCGTGGCAAAGTGGGAAAAGAGAGTTTTCAACGAGGAGAAAGTGACAACAACAAACCCCCGGGTTGGCCCGGTGGCAATTGACTTGAGTCTTGGGGTTTTGCTTTCTTTCAAGGTCTCAAGTTCGAAACTCACTGGGTGCAAACAATTTCTAAAGTCCATCGGACTGGGTAAAACCTGAATTAACCGTGGTGCACTTGCGGGAAACTCCTTGCCGAGAGCCTGTGCACCCCGAGATTACTCGGGTGCAAATAAAAAAAAAAGTGACAACAACGTTTTGAATATGGGTGGGTGCGTAGCTTGAAGTGTGCCGTGGGCCTTTGGATATGACAACAATTACCACACTTAGTTGTTTTTTTTCTAACTTTCACATTTGAAACCTGGAATTTAATGTCATACAGTATTAAGGTAATTGTCAGAATAGTAGTGTCGGTTATAGCAGTAGTGACTTTTCTTTTACAGGATACTAATGCAGGCATCAAATATACAGTTATATGTACTTGCCTTTATTAAGAATGATTCTGGAAAATCTTTTACTTTGTTAATGTATTGAATTTGAACTCTCTTAAGAGGCCAATTTCTGGTACTGGCGAAAAAGGTTATATTATTACTGCTTACCAGATTAGTTGGATATTCATATACCCTATAGTAGGGGCGGCAAACAGTCGGGTCGGGGTCGGGTCGGATATGAAACTGATCGAAAGCGGGTACCGAAAAATTATCCGACCCGATCCATATTTAATACGAAAAAAAAACGGGTTAACCGGCGGATAAAATGGGTAACCATATTATTCATGACTTCTTGAATATGATCACTTTGAGAGAATTTTTAGTCTCCCAAACTTGAGGAACCTCTAATTTGAGGCTTTACAAATGTAAAAGTTAAATCCATTGGTTATCCATTTTCTAAATGGATAATATGGTTCTTATCCATATTTGACTCGTTTTAAAAAAATTCATTATCCAATCCATTTTTAATGGATAATATAGGTGGTTAATTGTTTTCTTTAATCATTTTGCCAGCAATACCATACAGTAATTTTTATCAAACATGCTGTGTCATGTATGTTGTTTCGAATGAGGGTTTTTTATTCATCTCTTGTCCGACTACATTGTATTGTATATTAAGGAGAATAAAGGCTAAGTAACTATTGCCAGGTTGTATAAGAATATTTGTTGGGATCTGTTTGGCAAGTGCAATAGTTATGAAATGCATGTAACTTGTGTAAGAGAAAAATAGGTTTTAATGACATAACTAAAGGGGGAAAGACGTAGTAGTATTTTGCAGGGGAAAAAGATAAAGATAAAGATAAAGATTGGAGTTATGGGTTCTTTCTCTTTTAGTGCTTTTGCTCATGAAGGTTGTTGAGGTATCTTTGAACATTTATCGAAAGCAACAGGCAGTAAAGCTGCACGTAGTAAACAAAGATCTTGTTAAAGGAAAAAAGATTTTAAAAAACACACGATCATGTTTGAGAATATTAAGGTACAAATTGCTGTTCAAAACTATCTTAAACAGCTTCAGTTCTCTGCGACATGCCTTTTTGACAAAGGATTGTTCTCCTACGTGAGTGTACAAGCCGAACCGGAAAATCGTACCAAATCGAAAAGTCAAATCAAATTGATTAAAAAATCCGATTAGGTTTGATATTGAGTAAAAAAATTCGAACCAAACCGACATATAAATTTATATTTTTTATATATATTTTTAAGACTTTTTATAGAATTTTTTTTTAAAATGTCTAGAAATTTACGATTCTCTTATGGGATGTAATATTTAGTTAAATATGAAGTGCAGTGCTCCGTTTTTATTAACTTTAAATAATGGGTTATATGATCACTTTCTTATAAAAATGCATTAATCTCTTTGTTCTTCCATATTAATATGTCAAGATCTATTAAATTATTATATTTTTTTTTGAATTTAAAGTAAAATTTCGACAATCTAAAATTAAATAGAACATATTATTATTTAGGTATTATATTTTTTTTTATTTTTTTTTTTTACATTTTTCCCTCCAAGAACTTCCCACCTTGCTCTTGGGAAGACTCGAACTCACAACCTCTCGGTTGGAAGTGGGGGTTGCTTACCATCAGAGCAACCCCTCTTGTCTTTTAGGTATTATATTAATTTTTATGTTTAATTATTAAATTCGGTTAACCTTGAAAGTGTATATCAACAAAAAATTATCGTCAGGCGACTAAAAAAATAACTTTCATGTATTACTAAGAAAATTATCCCATACGAATATTTTAATAGATAGTATGTTTGTCAATTTTTTTAATTTTTATTAAACATATATTTATTTATAAAAAAATTAACAAAGTAAGATTGAAATAATATTCATGTAACTAAAAAAACTCGAAAAATTCGACAAACCGAACCAATCGAAACCGATATAGTTGGTTTGGTTTGATTTTGATAAAAATTGAACCAACCCGGTCCATCTACGTCCTTATGGGTGAGATAGACCCGTTAAAAGAATCATCACAAATTTGTATATTGAAAGTAATTAACGAGTGTGGCAATTCATCGTTTCAATTAGAGCTGGTGTCCCTATCTTATATGGCCGACAGACTGTTTTGCGAGTTCAAATTTGCATGTATATGACAATATTTATTTCGTTTTTTTCGGTTAACGGTACGTAGAGGAATATTTTCCTTTAAGAAGAAAAGAAGAAAAACAATCTAAATTCTAAAAGTGTTTTGCTACAGCTTACAAGGTTTGGCAATTTTAGGATAAAAAAGGAAACCACAAGTGAAGGCCAAAAAAAGATACTTGGCTGAGAAAAGAAAGGTTGGAATGATGACAACATTCTTGTAGACAAGGTATTGTTTGAAGGACAACAGTTACTGGCTACATACTAATTTCTTTAAATCACAAAATCATATAAAGAAAAATAATTTTATTCATGCATATGTGAGTATGCATTTGTTCCCTTGATTCTTTCTTCGAATTGTTCTCCTTAATTTGAGGTTGGAAATATGAATCTTCTTAGGATGTATTTGATCTCCATGAAAGTCGAGCATTGTATAAATATTTTTTTTGAGATATTTAATTATCAAGTAGCATCCGACCGCAATTTAAGTTAATCTTGAGGAAGAACTTAATACATAATTTAATGTCTTGATCTTTCTTTGTAAAAATCCTAAGAGTTTATGGGTTTTTCAAGATCGTGTGTCAGACTAGTTTAACTCCGTTTCTCCAGTTAGATAATACTAGTCACTATTTACATTCTAAGAATCAATCTATTTTCTTGTCAAAGAAAAATGATTAAAGAAGAAATTAAAACGCGTATATGTATTTTTTTTAATAAGCGTTTTACATCCAATCAAACAGAGTGTGTAGGACTAAAAAAGAAGAGCCAATAGTGATGGCAGTGGATGAACAAGTCACAAGGTAAACAGAGAAAATTGTTCACATCTTTTATGGACAAGACGCGCTTTACAGAAAGAAAAAAACAGCCAAGTGTGGATAAAATGCTGAATCATGTTTTCAGTACGCATATTATTATTATTATTGTAACAGACCAACCCATTATTAATATTGTCCGCTCTAGGCTTACGCCCTCACGAGTTTAAAATGGAAGAAATTCAAAAATAGTCAGATTTACAAGCGGTCATTCAAAAATAGCCATAGTTTCAAAATTAATCGAAATTTAGCCACTTTTCATGTAAAGATAAATCTGAACGAAAACACTGTTCAAAATTCGGAAAAATACTCCAGTATAATATACTGGAGTTCCAGTATAATATACCGGTCCAGCATAATATACCGGAGATTGGAACATCGGTGCTCTCCAATATATTATACTGGAACTTTCCGCGTGTTGGAGTTCCAGCATAATATGCTGGAAGTTCATACACAGGTGTACCGATCTCCAGTATATTATGCTGGAACTTTTCGTGTTGCAGCAAAATAATGGCTATTTTTCAATGACTTTGCAACCGCTGACTATTTTTGAATGACCAATCCGAAAACTGGCTAGCCCGTGCTATTTTAACGTTTAAAATGTGTCACTAGGATGTAAGGCTTGTTAACTTATATACCCAACATCCATCTTGTGTGTTAACTGATGTCCTGTTAAAATATGGCGTGTTACAATTATTATTATTATTATTATTATTATTATTTATTAATTAATTTATTCATTTTTTTTTTGTAAAAAGGAAACACACACACCATAAGTGCCTTTATTTTCCTATTTTGTTTTTAGCTTTATCTTTTTTGTGCCCTAGCACATGACTTCCTCCATTCAACAGTCAACACCTGTAGTACTCTTCTTTTCAATTCTGAAATCTTCTTCTTTCGCTTTCCAGAACCCTAGTATTTTTCAATATTATTCTTATGGTTTATGTTCCACACTTTTATTTCCTCGACAAAAAAAAAAAAAAAAAAAAAAAAAAGAGAAATAGTGGTGGAATGGCATAGACAAAATCACGTCGTCGGGCATGTGATTCGGTACCCTAATTAATTGTTAAAAAAACATCTTGTCGTGGTGATCCAAATACAATTTCCACAAGACTTCTTCTTCTAAGAATTATTATTAACGTGTTATTTTGGAAAAGAAAAGGAAAA